CCAACAATACAGATCAAAGAATCTATCATTATACAACAGTTTCTTAGAAGCATCTGAACACAAGTAGCCATCACCCACCGGCTTTCAGGAGGTTTTTGTTTTATGATTACTTTTTTACTTGGTATTCCCATTTCTGAAGCCCTAGAGAAACAAAAGTATTGAAACATTTTAATTACCAAATCATCATCCAAGTCTTAAACAGAAGCACTCAGAAAGCCTAGAACAGCAACTACACCTCTACATACAATACTGCCAAAGAAGGACTACAGATTATTGCTTTTTTCCTCAGGAGTAAGTGTAACATAACTTTTCTGTCCACTGTGCTGCAGCATAATGCCTACTACCATTCCCCTCAAAAACCTCTGCCAGAGATATTTGGCAGAGTATCTTTACTGTTAGGTACTTTAGACTAATAAAATAACTAGGAGCGCATTTTACAATTTACAAAATCAACCACAAACTAAGCACCCACCACTGGAGTATAGTGTAAATGCACTACTTAAATATTTTTCTTCCAAACAAGTCTGTTAAAAGTAAGAGCAAAACACTCTTAGCAAGACAGCACACACCTAGTCAGCTTTTTATTCATTCTTCTTAGGAGAGATGTTAGTTTGCAAAGAAGCTGTTACTCCAAAAACTTCCCCTCACTATTTCCTGTGCCTCCTACTCACCCTCTTGAATCCCTCCCACCTCCCCTCCCCACCTAAGGGTGAACTGCACATACTTCATGTTCTTTTTCCTGTCCAGAGATTTCTGTGTAGCTGTTGAAAGTGTCACTCGTTCTCTTGGGCTCTTTACTTTATCCTAAAGAAAAAAAAAAATATTTTGAAGAAAGTTACCCACAAAATGATCCAGTACTTAGTCTTAAAACAGTTTCCATTCTCTGGACTACAACACACCATTTGCCTGAGCATCTTCTCTTTACGAACTTCCCGATCATGACGCAGAATATTCATCCTCTCTGATGCCTCCATGTTGAAGAAGATGTCATGGATGTCATACAGAGCAGCTCGGAGCTGGAAACAACAAGTAAAGTTTTAAGAAAACATTCAGGGGGGTTAACATGCCAATGGTTTCGATCATCAAGCTCTTCTCTCTTTCAACTGAAAATCAACGTGGTCATTCTGAAATCTCTCAACATGCACAAAATCAGAATCTTCTCTTCACAGCCATGATTTATTTAAACTTTTTACTCTAAACAAAGTTACTGTCAAGGCTTTAGGTATTTATACGACAAAAGCAGAACGGCCAGGAAAGCAAAAACCCGAAAAGGTTTAAATTCTGTCACCTGAGCCATGACCCTTTCATGAAGGGATGCATCTTGTGCTGACACCCTTCCTCTTTCCAGTGGGGCTTCAGACTGAAAATTTTTTATGAACTCCAGAGTATCCTGGGAAAGATGGCAAAATGAGAATTAAGCACCAAAAATAATCCTTCACGGCAAAAGAATTGGTACAAACAATACAGAGGACATAGATTCTTTGTTTGACTTGGACCTTACAACACTAAGCAATGCAACACTCAAACACACTCATGAGGCAGACATGACCAAATCCTTCTGAAAGCAGAAAATGCATCATGTCAATCAGAGGCAGGACCAAAAATAAACAGGGAGAGAAACTGCATAATATAAAAACGCTGATCTTACTTTTACAGTTTGCTTCAGATGTTTCAGTTTTTCTGTCTGCAGGAGCCTACGTGTGAGAAACCCCTTTGCCACAGCAGTGATCTTGTCAAACTTCATTTGTATCTCTGGACTGGAAACCTAAACAAAAAAAGTGTTTTCTAAACATTTGATAAGAAAAGCAAGAACATCAATGGCATGATGTGTAAGTTTCCAAGTAAGAAACAAACTATTGCTAAACTTTTGGCTGGGCCAGAAGTATCCAACATACCATTAGCTTAGCAGAAGCAATATATTGGTATGTATTTTGCATCTATGAACAAGAAAAATATCCTATACAGTTCTCTTGTGCCATCAAAGCTGATCTGGTAAGGGATACAATTTCCGAGAGATTTATTACAACACAGTTATTATAAAGTTAGCAGTGTCTTAAAAAACATGAGGGCTTTTTAAGGTATAAATATATCTCTTATTTCCTTACCTGACTCCACCTAGTTTTGATCCTGTTACTTGGCCTGGATACTGAGGTTTTTATAACTCCAGTACCTGATGGTCCCCAGAGATAGAATGAGGTTTCACTTGTTGAAGCAAAGGTGTTAGGTGTTGTAGTGTGAGCAAAACCTGCATGCAAAGCAGAACACACAGTTCAACACACACTTTTGCCAAGAATGCCTGTGTATACACTCAGCTTGGGGGCAGCAGCTTTGTTTACAAGATCAATTACAGACAAGAAGCAACCTGAATATTGCTGATTCATTTCCTTGCAAAATGTGCTAAACAGAAGAACAGAAAACACTTCATAATGTTCTGGTGTACCCTTACAGTCAAGATCCCTTGGCAGAGCCCCTCTAAACCTTCTACACAGAAGTGCTGCCTCACTGCTGTGCAGCTACATGGCACAACCTGCTGGGACGTGATGCAAATCCACATCCTCATCCTTGATCAAAAGAGTTTATTCTTAGCTTGTTTTCCTTAACTGTGCCCTAAAACAGTTATGTAACAAATGCAGCACATCCAACAGTTCAAGGATGGCTGAACCTGTGCTAAATGCCAGGGACACAGAGATGCAGCATTGACTTTGTTTTGCACATGCTGCTCACAGCTGTGAGGGCAGCAGCTGTCTGTGGATCCTGACCAGCCCTAGGACATGAACTCTGCACTTGTTGATAATGTGGGGCAGCTGGTCCAGTCAGGCATTGTAGAACAAAGACACCACAACATTGAATCTATATCCTTCCCTCCCAGTTTTACCAGTGCTGGTGGAGTTTGTGTTATGGACTGTCTCCAGCTGAGACTGCACACTTCCCAGCAAGCCACTTTCACTCTTTTTCCTCCACTCCAACTCCATGCTACTGTTAATATTCACTTTGGAAATTTCTATTTCCGTTGTAGTAACCTTCTTTCCTTTCAACTTTCTCTCCTGCTCTTCCAGTTCCTACAAAAGGAAGATTTAACCATGAGACTATTTTTCTAGCTCTACAAAGCAACAGAATATACATTTTAAACTCAATTACTTTCTTACAACCTTCCACACTACCTTTGCTTAGAACTTTTCCTTTTGACCTTACCTTCTGCAATTTCTCCTGTTCTCTCTCTTGTTCAGCTATCAGAATTGACAGCTGCTGTGCATGCTGCTCTTCAAGTCTCTTCCTCATTTCTTCGAAGGCCAACATTTTAGTTTTTAAAACATCTTCTGAGAAAATACACAACAAAGAAACAAATACTAAATAACTTGCATGTGATCTTTGCCAGAGACACACATTCTTTATTGGAAGTCACTCGTATCATCAGTAAAAAAACAAAAAAGATGTCTTTGATATCTTGATATCAAGTCTCCATTGTGAATAGTAAAGAACCTCATCATTTACTACATTGCCTCAAAATATTTGCATGTTCATATTTGTGGGCTAAGCATGTAAATGGAACAGCAGTAACACCAACTCAGCCTACATCAAATTTAGAACATAAAAATTTTGCTCTAAAAACTGCTACACTTACTTGAGCAAATTAAAGTTATTTATGGCACTTCAGCTTGATGTGGCAGAGACACAAACAGATCTAACAGTCTTGAAGAAAATACCTATATAGTGATTTGCAACCCATTAAAAGGTATTTTCTTTTACTTTACACAGTAGTCTTATTTTTAGTAGTCTTATTTAAACCTCATGGAATAAGAAAATTTTCTTAGTAAAACTAAATTCCAATTTCTAGATTCAAATGGGAAATTAGTATTTGTGCTGTCAGATTATATCCTTGAGAATAAATAGAGAATTCACAAAACTGATATGCAATATTTTAGCTGATGTTTCCTCAGAAATTGTTTAATCAAGTATTTGTTACAAATAACTGTGGAGACTTCTGAATTCAAGCAGCTAAGACAGCAGTTAAAAATGGCTCAAGCAGTAAGCTGAATATCAGAGTGTGTCATTAATTAAATATTAGAGAAATAATGAGGTTACAGTAGCAAATTTACATGCAATAAAATTTTAGCCTTTTGATACACATGTGTGCTTAGTAACCCCAGTGACTAATGATCTTTTTTTTTTTCTAAGACTTATAAACTGAGAAGTGAGTATTACTGAGAAGTAGCCCTCAACTACAGGAAATCCTTTACCTTTTGCCACATTTTCAGGGGCTGCATTCTTGGTAATATAAACTGATCCCACAGGATATTTCTGTTCCTGCAACCACTGCTTCTTCTGTTCTTCCATTCCGACTCTTAGAATGCAGGAACTGTTTTCTTTTTGACAGCTGTCATTGTCCAAATCAAGTCTACGTTTGACCTTTTCACAATTTTCTGGAAATTGATCATTTGCTGAGGAAACACTCGGAGTATCCATTTGCAGCTGCACATTCTTGCTCTGCATTAGTAGTGGAAATGGATTTTCTACATTGTAAGATTTATTGAGTTCCACTGGAGAATTACATTTAGTATTTTCCGGCAAAGTAGGTGGTTTTGTTTCATTCACAGCTACAATCTTCTGTGTTACTGTAGACTGACTGATGGCAAAGGGCTCGTTTAATTTTGGAGCTACAATATTAGTACTATTCTCTACTTTATATGGCCCTCTGCTGTCCATCGCCACCTGTCCTTCCACTGTAGTCAACACCATTCCCTTGCTTTCCAAGACCCCAAAGGAATGGCGATTGGGTTTGCCAACCCCCAACCCATCACAAGGGCCTGAAGAACTCCTGGGGACACCAGGAACTCTGCCAGGGTAAAGCGTAGTGAAGTCCATCATGAACTTTGGCACTGATTCAGACACGTTATTTTTATCTGCAATATCCTGCATGATTAAATCCATCGCTCTGCCCTTGCCTTTAGGACTCAACTCGTAAGCATTCACAGGGTTATTGATGATGACGTGGCCCGTGGACAGAGGTCTGGGGCGCCGCCGGTGCATTTTAGGGCTCATATTTGGCTCTGGGCTTGGCAATCTGGCATAAGAGCCTGTGAGGCTCCTGACAATGCTGCTGTCACGCTCAAAGCTAGAAGTCTTCTTAAATTCTTCATCCGAATCTGAATCCACCAACGGAGGTGTTCCAACTCTCATAGGTATGTCCACTTTAGAAAAACTGGATAAACTGGACATACTTGCGTTACTTGTATGAGTAGAGGCACCTTGGAGAAGGGTATTTGATTTATTAAGACTGGGTTTATCGGGCATCTGAGCAGTGCCACTTCTGCCTGTAAGTTTGGCTCTTTCCTTCGTCGAGTCAGTTGTTTTAACGCCATCGTTTTCCTTATCGGAATGACTCTCGCTCATGCTCCTCCTGGAGCCGCCTTTTGAGGGCCGCTTGGTTTGCTCTTTCTCTATGTACTCCCTGGATTTCTTGATCAGGTTCTGAAGACTCATCACACATGGATCTTGGACATCCTCATCTGACAGTGACCCTGCTCGTCCCTCCTGTTTCTGCAGAGCGTGTGACATGAGCTTGTTGCACATCTTGTCAGGAGATGCAGCATTTGGACAAGGCAGGTCTTTGGAGAAGAGACTCTCGCTTTGCTTAGAAGAAATATTTTCTTCTGCTGCTTTAACTTCTGTCACATTTGATGTCACCTGTTCTGCAGTATCTGATGGTTTAAGTTCTGGTGTCTTTTCCAAGTCCATGGAACTGTCCCTTTCAGGAGAACATGCCAAACTGACATCTGATAGAGTGATGTCAGTCAAAGTTTTTGAATCCAAATCAAGGCAAGAATTCTCAGCTTCCTGTGCATTCACATCACTCATGTTAGGTCCTTTCTTCATCTGCAAATTACATTAAAAAACCCCATGTGTTTTCAATGAAATCTCAGAATTTCAGATTCTTGCAAACTTTGTCTGAATTTAAAAAAATAACACCACCTTAAAGCCAATAAAAATCTTCAGTTTGACTGATACTGATTACCTACAAATACAGAACCCTTTGCAATGAGAAAGATGATTGGAATTAAAATACAAATTTGAATGATGGTCCACCTGGAATTTTTTCCTGAGATCAAGTATCTGAATGCAAAGATGTTATGTTCTTCTTAATTTAGATATATTAAAATAACTTTATGGCTTCAAATTATCTTGCAAGATTCTCTTAAAATATGAACTTATGTTTACATTAAATAAGAATTTTAAAAATTCAGCACAAAATACATACCAACCTATAGGCAACTACAAACAAATCAACATAATTCCTAATAAAAATAGTGGAACTATCAAATAACGTGTTACTTCTTTGCTAATCCAGAGGCAACTAAATATGAGTTTTCAATTGTAAAGTACATGGAAAAAACAACTTTTTTTAGGTGAGAATTACATGCTACTTCCAGCCAGTATTTGTTAAAAGGATTTTCACACTACAATTACCCTTTGTGTTGCAACTCAGTTATCAGACACCTTCGGGTAAAAAAACAACTAGGTTTTTTTGTGTTGGATCTATGTTCCTGGTCTGCTCTTCCAATCCAAAGCCAGATGACTGTTGCCACTTACACTCCAGCAAACAATGCAAACTTGTGTTGTTTGCTACCTTGGTAACTCCACAAACTCAGTGGTAACTGTACTGCAACACATGTATTTCAGGGCTGTGTTACAACTGTTTCAAAGGCATAATAACTGTTTGATTAGATGCATTTAATAGCCTTTTCATTTTAAACCTCTACTAAACTCATCTTGAAGTAGCAAAGAAACAAAACAGTCGCAGTAAAATTGTAAAGCACACAACAGAATGTCTTGTGTGAAGTTGTTGTGAAGGTGATTTTAACCTTGTAATTGTAAGGTCAAATATAGACTATTTTCTGATTAAACTATAAAGATTTTAACTTACAAATAAAGCAAGCTCCCAGACCAGGGGGCTGTTTTTATAACTTGATTGTAAAACCAAATAAATTTGTTTTTACAATCAAGTTGTTTCCAACACAGCTATAAAAGCAACAGTGTGATCTCTTTTGCATATAGCAAAACAAGCAGTGAAAAGCAAGTCCCATGCATTGCAATGAGGGGAGATGCTCTCTCTGAGCAATCAATTACCAGGACACAGAGCAGGAAATACTGTCAAATGTTGCTCACAGTTACCTGCTATTACTTTCATGTTTACATTGGTGAATACTTAAACCCCAGCACTTTCTCTAAAGGTATGAGGTGGCTTTTGCCCAACACTACCTGAATGTTTTCTACAATCTCCTGAACATGGTTCAGTAAAGCTTTTTTCCTGGAGTTCTGTTTCCTGGTCTCTATGTCCAGTGCTTTCTCCTTATATTGCTGTATTTCCTTTTTCTTTTCAAGGCTAAGCTGCAAAGCAGAGTGTAAAAGACATGGTTTGTATCACTAAATGCACACTTCAACACAGATTCAGAGAAATAAATTAGAAATACAACAGAACAAAACAATCAGACCAACAGGAATCACTTGAGACTTTGTGCTCATTTTAAATTCTTTTCAACCAATTATACTTTTTAATGGAAGATGCACAAAATGCCTTCTTGGCACACATGCAAATGAACATGATTTTAAAATGTCATTTATAAAAAAAATTTCCATTTTCCAATCTTCTGCTTGGCTCTGTTTGCATTAGTTCGGAATGACTTAACATAATTGACGAGCCCGTGAAATACATTAGAGCAAGTTGCAAATATATGCAAAAAAGAAACTCTCTTAAAAGCTTAACTAATTTAAGTGTAAAAAAAAACTCCATAGTGAAAAAAGGAAATACTAACTCACATATTCAGTATTTGAAATGTCAATATGACTTCACATGGCCAGCAATAACCTTCATCTATTAAAAACCACAAACTTTTGTGCTCCCCTTTTGAAGATAACTCATTACAATAAATTAAAGGAAATGTAGTCAATGTGAAGAAAAAAAAAAAGAATTACATTTTACCCCTTTACAAGATTAAGGCTAAGAAAGCTTAGATTACACTAAGCAGCAAGCCAGATAATAGCTCACACAGATACCTTCAGTAGGATCTTTACATGTGCACATCAAAGCTAGTGGCAATAGCACAAATAACACACCAGGGAGGAAAAAGGGAAAAAAAAAAGGCCTTACCAGAGGCGAAAGCACAGGGACTCCATAGAATTGAATGAGGGAGATATTTTTGTGCTGAACACTGAAAGGGGTTTCTCCTTTTATTGCCCCTTCTTGGATTCTGGCAAGATGCTTCTTACAGAATATTTCATAGTCCTCCATCTTCATGTTGCCTAAGCTGCAAAGAATAATAACATTACTCCCTCATGTACTGCCAAGACCTTGAAGGGAAGACAACATCATTCTGTGTCACTATGTTCTGGGAAACAAATTCTACATGAGAAAACTCAATTAGAGTGTCTCTTCTCCCTGTCATCAGCAAAAGCTGCAAAGCTCTTCCTTGTTTTCTCCTATAAAAATAGACTCTGCATATATGAGCAAGAATCATAGAACCACAGAATCATAAAATCAACCAGGTTAGAAGAGACCTCAAAGATCATCAAGTCCAACCCTACTGTGGTTACTAGACCATGGCACTAAGTGTCACATCCAGTCTCAGCTTGAAAACCTCCAGGGATGGTGAATCCACCACCTCCCTGGGCAGCACATTCCAATACCTGAGCACTCTCTCCGGAAAAAATCTCTTCCTAATATAAGAAACGATGATCACAGGTACACTGAGAAGAAAGAAATGATAGGGATAATCAGGATTTACAAAACTACACGTTGCAGATAATCCTCGTTTCCATCAAAGACTAAACCTTTAAGGTATTCCACAACAACCAGATGGATCCTATCGACGGTAAAAACCCCAATAAATACAATTGCAGCTTCACTTAAAAAGAAAAGCTGATATTAAAGCAGTAACAGCCTTCCTGTTTATGGGGCTGAGAGGAATTTCTGTCTCACTCCCATGAGTGTCGGTATCGCCTCGTACAGGGATGCACCGAGACAAACAAAACGATAAAATACAGCCTTAAAAACAACGACATATCCGACACTGCCCATCGCACCGGAGGGAACATTCTGCGCCCAGCACGGCCTGGCGAGGCCCGGCAAGGCTTTGTTCGCCCGCGCAGCGCTCCGGCCGATCGCTGCCCACCC